GGGGGTGGGGTTGGGGTTGCGCCACCTCATGCCACTTCGCAAACCCCACCCCCCCTTCCCACTGGCCGCCATGCGGCCGTGTCCGCGGGGTTGCGGACCTGGCCTCGGCCGCGGACTTGGCCACCGACGGCCGCCACTGAGGGAGATTCGTAGCGAGCAAGTGCTTAGCAATTTGGGTGCTACTGCAGACCCGATGATCACACACCTTTAGTTTGCTCCGGGCATATGGCCATATGGTCGGACATATATTTATTTATTCCAACTAACGTACTGACGATTAAATCTCTGTGTGTGTCGTAGGTCTATCTGACACATCACTAACCCAATCAACCCCTCGACCCCTCGACCTCTTTGGTCGAAGGGTATTACCCTCACAATCAGAGTGCTCGTCTCAATAACACGCACGCATACTTAACAAAATATTTTCACCGATTTGCCCCGGCCTCAATGGTCGAGGAAATTGTTTCAACGTATCGTGCGAAAACTCACGTGCCTTGAACTTTCGGACCGGCCCCGTCATGGTAGCCGATGCGGTTGTTGTGTCGACTGCAGAAGCATGGCCAAATACCCTTGTAGGGTATTTGGTCCGACACTGCAAGCCGAACGAAGGTCACCTTCGTCCTATTAACTAAACAACGAGCACGACCTCGGATCGCTGAACCAGCATTCAGGTCAACGCAGAGAGAGAAAGAGAGAAAGTAAGCCGAATTCTATTGATCTTTGCATGGAGCCAGCGTTCGTCTTGACGAACGCGAGCGAGGGCCCTTGCCAGTGCTCAACCTTCATATCGGTTCATCGCAGCGTGCTACCGTCCTTCCCGATCACGGACGACAATAGCGTGTACTGCGACGTTGACGTGCGGAGCACTTTGCGATGAACCGAGCAGATTCATCTGTATAACCCTGCTAGGGCCTGCCACATAGGAGGGAGTGGGTTTGTGTTAATTGATCGTTCTCTTCCCCTCCTGTGATACTGCCCTACACTGATCTTACAGTGTTGCCCTGGTCCATGGCCCACGCCACGTGGCGGCCTCGGTTTAACTGCCGCTGGTGTTGTCAGGGGGATTCGTGTTCCTGGCAAAGACTAGTCCTGGGATACGAAGGTGCGGCTTTATTCCCAGAACTCTCCTGCAAAGCGGGCGCACTCCCGGCTAACTTTCAAACCTGGGTTCCCTCCGCCCAACCGACACTCAGTGACACCGCGCTAGGACACCCGCGCGGGATTGACAAATCTGACACCGAGGCCTGAAAATGTCATATCCTTGAGCGGCCGCCACAAAGTTCGCGCAAACCTGGCGCAAAAGGGAAGGGGTAAATTCCACTTCCTTGTCCTTTTCTTTTCCTTTTCGGGTTTTGTTGATGGTAGACCAAGTAGCACGTCACTTTCCGTCTCCTTGGCAAGCAAAGTTTTTGAAAACAGGACAGGGCGGGTCACTTCGGAATAACCTCTCTCTCCATCCCTTGTATCTTTTGCCACTAACGATGGCCCAAGTTCGAGGAACGCCTTGGTATGAAACAAGAATCCCCCGTTCCGCGCGGGCGATTCAACCCCACCGGCCAAAAATCCTCGGCCACACCCCCATTTTAGTCTGATCGCCGTTCGCAGGTACGGGACAGCGCGCGGGGTGTGAGGTTGCACATCACATGCCACAAGGATGGATGAGTTACTTGAGATATCAGGCCTCGCTGCGCTACTCTTGACTGTCTAGTGCAATTTCAAGAGCTCGGCACCACTCCACCAGTTCATGAATTGGCTGCCCGAAATAGACTTCAAGAGTTTTCAGAAGAACTTTTGGAAATTGTCTTGAGTTGCTGTTGATGCACTACTACTTAAAAATTGCTTGTGAAACTGCTTTTCTGCCTCTTGAAAATTACTCGTGAAACTGCTTTTGGTTTGGCGAGGCCCCAAGCTGGCTCTGACAGCTCATGTAAGGCGCTCTTGAACTCTCAAGAGCACCAGCCTGCAACACCCATTTTTTTCAAGAGCTGTCAGAGCCAGCTCATGTAGGGTGCTCTTGAACTCTCAAGAGTGCCAGCCTGCAATGCCCATTTTTCCCAGGGTGCTCAGTAGAACCCTTGAAACATGGCCTACTTCATAGAGCTCGCCTCTGGGCGGACAAAACAGTCTGGCCTTGTCCTGTAGTGCTCTTGAAAAGCACTTCGGGACAGTAAGGGCCTCGCCACAATACTCCCTACTTGGCCATTTTTGGGAGTGCAGCATCCACACACCAGCCCCCGAGTTCAACCTGTCATATTGAATTCAGGAGCTGTCAGAATGTGGCTCCAAAGAGCACTCCCCAACTCACCGCCTGCAAAGCTGCGTTTTCGAGAGACCTCCTTCTCTCCTCTGAGTCTCATCCCAGATTCGGGAGTGGAGCTGGAAGGGACAAACGGACTTCTGCTAGACTGCTTCACACTGATCCTGTCCACATGTGGCAACTGACATTTTCAGACTTGGAGCGCAGCCGGGTAGAGAGTGTAGTGTGGCGAAAGGCACTCTCGGGAGGGTTTTCACTTGGTGTGGCGAGACCCCAAGTGTGTTTCAAGAGTTCTGCTTTCTAGAGAAAGGGAGAGATGGCAGGATTTTGGACCTTTTCAAGAGTCTGACAGCTCTTGAAACACTCTTGCTTTTTTTTTCATGAGTCAAGAGTAGTGCAGTGAGACTGATCTTCATAGAACTGACCGGGCCACGGTAGTTCGTAATTCTAGTACTTCACTCACTCATCTGCGTCGAGTAGAGTTCGTATTTCAACAGTTCAGGGATGTACCAACTGAGACCATACTCACACCAGCACAGTCTTAAATGGATCTGACAGACCACAATTACGTCCTTTTTTTTTTTTTTTTTTTTTTGACGTCCTGGTGTGAGTATGGCCGGAGCTAGGCCAGCCAGTCGTTTGGATATTTTCGTTGGTTGGTTCGGACAGGATTGTGGATTTGATTCTGTTGAAGACAATCTTGGCTTTTTCTTTTTCCCCGACGGACCACGGATCAGATATTGAACTGATGAGGACAGATACTATCACGTGGTCTTTCTCTTTTACCCACAAGGCCGAGAAAGGTTGGCACGCTTATCAGAGTAGTGTTTTTTTTTTTTTTTTTTTTTCGGGAAACTTGAACGCCTCTATTCTCATCCGCAGCCTGTGTTCTCATGCGGAGTCTGAGGGCACAGTAGGAATTTTTAGATTAGAATGTATCTGACTGCAATTACGGCGGGAGCTCGACGCATCTCCACAACGACGTTCGGAGCTCATTTTAAATTTTAAATAGTCCTACTGTGAGTACGCCCTGAGTTCGTGCGTGAACCTCTATTCTCATGCACCGTCTGTGTTTGTGCTGCTCATCTTCGTCCTCCAAACGCAGTGTCCGTGGTCTCTTTAACCGTTCTTTGTAACTGTTTTTTTTTTTGTTGTTTTTAACCAACTTCATAATTTTTTTTAACTTTCCTGTTGTCGAACACGGATGATAAGCTCAGCTACGGGAAATGATACGCACATAGTTCACTGCGAACGAGGTGCGCGCGTCTGAACCGTTCGGGCCCCGAGCACAACGCACCCTTGTCATGACTGTATCTGACAGGAAACATCGCTTATATGCATGCATGCATTGTGTTCGGGGGAAGACGGTAGCCTGCGATTGCGAGAGTTGGGGGAGGAAGGAGTCTCGTAGTAATTACAAGAAGAGACCGAAGTAGCGCAAGAGGCAGCCAGAGAGGCACTCACACGCACTCGTCCACCGTCCGCGAGCGAGCGAGGGCGAGAGAGAGAGAGAGAGAGAGAGAGAGAGAGAGAGAGAGAGAGAGAGAGAGAGAGAGAGAGAGAGAGTCGCATGTTGAAGCCGTGACGGAGAGGCCGAGTGGTATGTAGTATGTTGAAGTCATTGGTTGGGATTTACAGAGTAGAGTGAGGACTGCGACTACGAAGTCTTACAGACTGGGTTGAGGGTGAGGGGAGGGGAGGGGAGGGGAGGGGCGGTGGCAGGTAGGTGTGTCGCTCAGTGAACATCAGCGATATCATATGTCTTGCTATGTCGTTGTCCGAATCTTCTTCTTCGGTTGGGTGTCGTTGGTGGCTTTCCTGTGCGGCTGCCGTGTCCTGTCCGGGTCACGCGGGAATGGACACGTGTCGGCTGGGGGGTTGTCATCAGGGGCTGCGTTCTCTGACTCCCTCGGCGAAGCAAATGTCGGGCGTCTCAGGAACTGGACACGTGTCGGTGCGCCGAGGGCGGGACCAGTCTTGTCGGGTTTGCACCCGCATCCGGACCTGCCGCTGGCGCGCTCGCCGGTTTTCCTCGCCGGTTCATGGGCAATTGTACGATCACATGATCCGTTGATGGCGAATACAGCAGTGCCACATGGACATTGCCAGTCGGACGTCCGCGACCTCGTTGTTTCCCGCAATCATCTGTACTACGTCCTCCATCAATGGTGCGCCTCTGCAGACGGTACCATCACCGATGACGCTATGTCCGTCAGAAGCGCCTATCCATCCAAGACGAACCCTGGTTCGGACCCGACCAACGGTGACGAATCCACAGTGATAAGCTATTGGTGGCCTTTCAACGAGCCGAACGGGACAAGAGTAGCAGAAGCTAGTAGGAAGTTCACCCGCTCTTCCATGGCTTACGTAACGGGGGCCGCCATGTCGAGGAGAGGCTCGCATCTCGTCCTTAGCGTCAGTAGTGGGGATGGGGGTTCCATGATCACATCTTTGTCTCTTGCTGACGGTTCTCGATCTTCTGTCCCGCTCAATTTCTCGGTCGGCTCTTTAGCGATGGACTACAGGAGGACGCGTGTCTATCTCTCGGTCGTTGAATCTGGCGATGGCGTGCTCTCCGTCCCGGTGAGCGAGTTCGGCCTGCCTCTGGAGGAACCCAAGCACGTTGTTGACTCTCACTCGAAGCTGAATGTGAACGCCACCGGTGTGCAATTTCAGTATGAGAGTCTGGTTTCCGACAGCAGCAGTAATTGCCTCTGCCATCTGACGAAACTGCCTCAGCGTGCAAGATTCGGAGCGCAAGTGTTTGCGATCGATAAGCACGTGAAATCGTCGCTTAGCACTCTCGCAGCTGACTTGAGCACCGGTCGGCATCCCGATGAACAGTCTTTTGTCGCGCGTTTCGCTTTCCCAGCTGCCATATTAGCGACAACTGCCGACGGGTGCCGCCTTTTCGCGACCGGAACGAGGGGTGCCGTTCTCGGTCTGACGCTGGGCTCATCGTGTGCGGATGCGGCGGTGGACATGGAAAGAGTTCTGGAGTACAAACGGGCAGCCTTCACGGGATTAGCTCTTCACGAGGACCACGACCAAGTACGCCTGTTCCTTGGCGCCAGTGACGGCAATCTTTTTCAAGCACGAATCGACACGGGTCGCTTGTGGAGTTGCCAGTCGATGTCTCGAAGGTTCCTGGGAGGCTCTACAGACTCTACTACCACGACTATCATAGTCGTTTGTGTTTGCGCTTGGTTTATCCTGTGGTTCGTAATGTTTTTCCTGAGGATAATATGTGTTGTCTGCGCATGCATAATGGAAACCCAGTCAGAAGTCGAATTGGTCCCACCCGCGGCGAACCGTGATCTGGCCAATCACCAAGGACCGGTAGCTTCTCGACCGACCGCTCGCGACAACTCGGGACCTGACAGGTCGTTACCTTCTCAGCCGACCGCTCGCGACAACGGCAAGTGGGGACTTGACACGTCGGTACCTTCTCGGCCGACCGCTCGCGACAGCTGGGGACTTGACACGTCGGTACCTTCTTCACCGACCGCTCAAGACATCTGGGGTTTTGACAAGTCGGTACCTTCTCAACCGACCGCTCTCGACAACTGGGGACTCGACACGTCGCGCGTGAAGAGCTTTCCCCTGAAAGACCTGACGGATTGCACTCACGTTTTCAACGATGTCTATAGGGTCGGGGCGGAGGGAGCGCTCGGAAAAGTATACTGGGCCTTGCTTCACGGGGCGGAAGTGGCACTCAAGGTCATGATTGGCGAGCTGACGGACGCCAAGCGGAAGCAATTCATTGCAGAAGTGAACACTCTCAGCGGAGTCAATCATGCCAACCTCATTTCCCTCGTCGGGTACTGTGTGGAGCGAGGGCATTGTGTCTTGGTGTACCCATTCTTTGGCGGGGGCAGCTTGCACGACAGGTTGTTCCCCAAGCCTCGGAGTGCGCTCCGGCCTCTAACCCTTCAGGAACGCATGAGCATCATCTTTCAGGTTGCCAAGGGCCTCTGCTACCTCCACGATGCGGCCAGACCGCCCATCATCCATGGGGACATCAAGAGCAACAACATCCTTCTTGGTACTGGTTCGGGGGAGAGGCTCCACACCGTTGTGGCTGGCTTCGGTCTAGCGTCTAAAGGAGAGAGAGTGTTAGGGACTGCGCGCGACCATGTTGTCCTGACCTCTCACATCGGAGGATCCTTTGGGTACATTTCCCCAGAGTACATGCAGAAAGGTGAGCTGTCGGACAAGAACGATGTGTACTCCTTTGGGGTCCTCCTTCTGGAGGTGCTGACGGGTAAACAGGCCCTCGCACCAGCAGATTCTGGGGCCGGATGGCAGCTGCTCGTAGACTGGGTGAAGCCTTTCCTTCAAGATAAAGATGATCATGGGTCCGTCGTCCGAGACCAGGGTGTTGAGCTGCCCTACGCAATTCTTGAGCCCTGTTTGAGGGAGCAAGCCGTGGAGGATCCCATAAAGCAGATGGTGATGGGCACTATCGCATTGGCCTGGCAATGCGTGCAGTACGACTACAGGTCGAGGCCAGCCATGAGGGATATCGTACAGTACATTCACAAATGGCTCGTGGTGGCAGGCTGGCACCGCTTGACGGCGATGACAGATGTGTCGTCGAGGCTTGTCGACTTGTCCAAACTTCCGGAAGGTGACGATGGGGAGTTTCGGTGAGTCACGAACCATGGTCTGCCTGTACTGATGTCACACTCTTCTTCCTTTTCTGTTAACCATCTATTTATATCTGTATCTCTATCTATCTATCTATCTATCTATCTATCTATCTATACATCCACGTGGGCGGCCTTGTACACAAGAGGTTCTGAACAGGGGGAGTTGTAAGTAAGAAGATAAAAAATGAATTGATATTTCCTTTTGTTTTTTTCGATTTTGGGCTCTGATAACTTTGCCACTATATATATATATATATATATATATATATATATATATACTACTAAAGGAAGGGTAGGACCCGTAAGACGCTTCCTTTCGAAAATGAGGAAGGGCCGCGCGTTCGTTTGTTTTTTATCGGGGGCGCTGGGTGCAGTTGGTGCCGGAGCAGCTTTATGAATGCGGTCTTTCTTTATTTCTTTTTTTGTTCTTCTTTTTTTGCTGCGGGTTTCTTTCGCGCAGCGCGGTAGATTGTAGAAAGATTCAGTGTTGTCGGGCAGGTGTTGGGCATATTCAACCAGGTAGTGTATATTTCCATGTTCTAAACGAAGATTCATTAGATTTTGCTTATCATGGAAGTAGGATGAGGCCAGCCGCGAGGCTGCTGTTCTCTCTCTCTCTCTCTCTCTCTCACACACACACACACACACACACACACAAGAAAAAAAAAAGAGAAAAAGTTGCAGTGTATATTGCCATGTTCTAGCAGAAGGTTCATTTATCCATAGAAGTAGCCTCTCTCTATCTCTCTACGGGCATGTCTGGAAAGCAGTGTATATTTCCAAGTTCTAGGGGACGATTCATTCGGATTTTGCTCATCCTATCCTTGGAAGTAGCATCTCCCTATCTCTCCGCGTGCATGACTGGAAAACTCTCTCTCTCTCTCTCTCTCTCTCTCTCTCTCTCTCTCTCTCTCTCACACACACACACACACACACACACACACACACACACACACACACACACACACAAACAAAACAAATAAACAAGCATGGCAATGCATATGTCCATGTTCTAGCCGTAGAGTAATGTATATTTCCATGTTCTAGCAGTAGATTCTCTATTTCTCTCATCCTATAGATGGAAGTAGCATGAGGCCAGCCGTCAGGGTAGAGACTTACGTGTTCTCTCTCTCTCTGTGTCTCTCTCTCACACACACACACACAAAAAAAAAAGTACAAAAAGTATAAATAAATAAATAAATAAAAGAGGTGGCATTGTATATTTTCACGTTCTGGCCAAAGATTCATTCCGACTTTGCTCATCCTACAGGTATACACACACAGACCTCCATTGCCACTCCTGGCCAAATGAGCAAAATGGGATTGAATCTTCCCCTAGGACATGGAAGTATCCACTGCCACAACATGGAAATATACAATGCCAAAGAACCAAAATGTGGCATTGTATATTAGAGTGACCCGCTTCATATGTCTCGTTGAATGTCTAAGGGTCTTGCCAAGCCACAACTCGGCCTCAAGCCGAAGGGGCAAAAGACCCCCCAGAAGTGGTGCCCCTTGTTGACTACAGTCAACTGCCTGAGGCCCAACAGTCAAAGTTAATAGGGACCCAGCCCAGGCCGCCTGTCAGACGCACACACTTGTTAGTATGCAGGTACCAAGACAGCATTTGGACCAAGTCGAAGCCTGCAACTGTATGCAATCCAGGCCCTCGGCTGTGAGTCAATCTGAGCCACCGTGAGTGGGAGACCTGCGTGGGAGACCTGAGGCAGGTCAACTCGGTCTATCACTACATAAGACCCTGCCTCCAGTGAGTCAACATTCAGTCTTGCTATGCTGACTTGATGCTGGCTCGACGCTAGCTGGACGCTGGCTTGACGCTGGCTGAGCGCTGGCACTGTGGACTACGACAAAGGACTGAGGCAGCATGCTGGTGCCTTCTTTGCTGAGCGCCAGCCGCTGCTGATGTGGTGCATGCCACTTGTCTTCATTGCCGATGCATGTCACCTGTCTTCATCGCTGATGTGGCATTGGTCACGCTGTCTACATTGGGTGACTGGACGTGAAAAGGAGGGAGATCGGGATCTGTGGATGATTGAGGAGGATCAGGATTCTTACCTGAGGTTGACGTCCATACTGTGCACTGCTGATTGTCTCCAATGTCTTCACGAGAGAACAGTGCCACGTGGCACTTCGATGTGATCAGGACCTGTCAGGCTTGTTACTGGATACTGTTTTGCTGATGTGGAGGTGAGGGGAAGCCCAGAGAAGGAGTGGGAAATGGGGCTACTCTCTTGGTGGTCATTGATGGTTATTATCTCTTCCATCCTCTAATCTGTCTATTGTCCCTCCACTCTCTTCGCCTACTCGTAACTAGACATTGTATCAGAAATCACATTCATGATTATTGGAGACATTGTTCAGATCTGAGTTGTCTTGTATTTCGACGTCTGGCGAGTATCTTAAAGACTGGGTTCATTACAATATTTCCTTTGGCAGTGTATATTTCCATGTTCAAGCGAAAGATTCCTTCCATTTTGCTCTCTCTCTCTCTCTCTCTCTCTCTCTCTCTCTCTCTCTCTCTCTCTCTCTCTCTCTCTCTGCCCTCCCCCCCCCCCTCCTCCCCCCCTCAGCGACATTTGGATCTGACCGCTCCTCAGTCCAGACTCACACCGGGATTTCGTTTCAATGTATCTGTCCACAGTTAAAGGCATATTGACTTCTGGGACCTTTTGGGACATACTCACACTGGGACTTGCGGCAACTTAGGGCACACTCACACTCTGACACTGAGACCCTCTGGGACGTACTCACACTGCGCCCTGCGTGCTGCAGCGATGCCGCGGCGCCCCTCTGACTTGTTTCAGTAAACAACCAGTACTTTTCACTGCTATCGCACCACCGATACTGCTTGGATGTTGCTGCGTCTTTCCAGGGTCGGCATACAGAGCAAAATGGTGCGGCACACGGTTCCTTTTGTTTGGGCGCACAGCATGTTAGCAGCCCTCGAGAAAAGTGCCTCGGAAGTAGAGGTGGTTAAAAAATTGGACATTTTGTTTTTTGGGAGGGGGATGTCTAACCCAGAATTTGTCAGTTTCAACCAAATGGCTGCTAACAAAGCAGGAACCACCAGTGAATGGATTCATCTTTGGCAACCTTCAAACAAACAGATGATAAGGGTTTCAGTTGAATCCAGCCTGCCAGTCAAACTCAAAGGCTACGGTACGTGCGTACCCTACCTGAAGACGACCTCCAGCACTTCACCTGGTCTTACTTTTCCCGCCTGATGCCCACTGCTCAGGCTGCGCTCCAATGGCAGATTATCTACAGATGTGAGCCAACCCCAAATTGGGTGGCCTCCTGCTCTAACCTTGAACAAAGAAGGATTCTCTCACCTACCTGTACCTACTATGGCTCCTCATCCCAAAAACAGTTGGCTGACCTGGAACACTGCGTACTATACTGCCCAGTGGTAAGGCAGATATGACAATGGTGGAGTGCGGCATGGCACCACATGGCTGGCAGGGAGCTCCTGTGGGACCCCCTGCCCCTGCTGGCCCAGGGGATAAAATCCCCATCGGACTGGACACCATTACAGTTGAACCTGTTTTAACTACACCCGGTTGGAAGCACTCATGACAGCTTGGCGTGCTCGGTGCTCCCACGGGTGACACGAGCACACCGTCAGCTACCTTCAAGCAAAGCAACACATCATAGACACAATACGGTTCTCTATCCACAAAGCTTGGATAAAGACAGAAAAGGAACTCAAACAGGAAACGGATCAGACCAAAAGCACAGAACTAACAAGCCCCTTCGAACAGCTCTGGCTGGATCCAGATAAGAAGCTTGGGGAACTGGACTCCACAAACCCGCTACAGTGGACGTCCTGGTGACAAGAGGAAGGCCAGTGGCAGTGGCGCCCCCTGCCGACCTCCCTCAGGCCCTTGCAAGGGCAGCCTCTGACGGTGGGGGTAATGCCCCCAGCTATAGCCGAAACAGACCCTACCATTCTTGACGATCCCCTGCCCTCTCCACCAGCCATTTGGGAGCCCCCCTCTTTCACAGACGCCCCTCCACCACCTTCACCACTACTACCCAGTCAACCACCTGACCTACCCTCACCAGCAGCCGCCGGAGACATACCGGACCGGTCGTCCACCCGGACATCCAGACGTGGACGGTCCGGACTGGGCTCCGGACGTCAACATCGAAACCATGAGTTGATTGATTGATTGATTGAAACAAGAAGTCCGTGAAAAGTAGCCATCTTGTGAAAACTGGACCGACTCAAAAACTTGAAGAGTATTTTTGAAGTAGTTTTATGGCTCTCATACAAGATATGTATTGTTCACTATCACAAAAATCTCAACAGAAGCCGGTATTTTTTGGACACATAACACCATAGAGGCAGCTCAAAAAATGGGATCGCCAATATGTCAAGGCTTTGTGCTTATTGTAACGACCATTTCGTCAAAATGGACTTTTTTTTTTTTTTGAACGAAATTGAAACCGAGCTTTTTGGCCGAAAACTCGTCAAAATTTGCTGTTCCTGACCCTGGCTGTACATGCACCTAGCTTGAGACCAGGCACCTCCAGGCAGGACTGCCTGGAGGTACCTGGTCTCAAGCTAGGTCCATGTACAGCCAGGGGGTACAGCCAGGGGGTCTCAAGCTTGGGCCAAAAAACTCGGTTTCAATTTCGTTCAAAAAATAAAAAATGTCCATTTTGACGAAATGGCAGTTTTGTGGACAAGAATAAATGTTTTCTTGAAGTTGAATGCATAACTATGTCAGAGTCGGTGTTCCGCAGCTAGGAGTTCATCTGTTTGCTGTGCACTTGTGTGTGTGAGTCGGTATGTAGCAGCTACAGGGCGTTGCCGCACGGCACACGAAACGAAAAACGAAAGGAATGAATCTTCCCACAGAAAATGGCCAGGGTCATTGGTTTGCTATAAATGGTAACGAGTGTATTTTGCCACCTTTGTTGGGCAGATGCACTGGTTTCATTTTCGTTTCGTGCGCCGCACCCGCAGTGTGTGTATGCGTCTGTAGGTTGTTTTAACTGTGAGAATGTTAATTGTTGCAGCAACAACACACGAGCATGTGTGTGTGTGTGTGTGTGTGTGTGTGTGTGTGTGTGTGAGTGTGCGTGTCACTGCCATTGGGCCTGGTTGTATGCCTCGTGCAGGAAGGGAATCTATTACATAATAGGTTTATTTTTTTGCATGAGGTGAAAAACACGTGTGTGCCGGAAGTTGGTGCCTCAAATTGAAACGAGGGGCTCAGGAGGTTGGTGCGTCACACATGTGCTGGAAGTTGGTGCGTAGAAGAAAACAGTTACAACTTGCCGCTAATGGCGTGAAGGAGAAGTTTGGGGGAAGGGAGGGGAGGTTGTCGGCGGAAGTGTGGCATGAAGGGATCATGGTTGCCAACCGGTCATCCGGATCCTGATCCAGACAGTCCGGTATCCGGTTTGGAGCGTCCGGTTGGACCCCGATTTCAAAAAAGTCGAATTTTTTTTGGGGGTTCCCCAGGCCGTTTTCCTGGGCCGGGGGTACTCCGGAAAATATTGCTGATGTTTTTTGCGAACTGGTACCCCAACCGGACTGGCCCTGAAAGGGCCCTCTGTATGACAACTTGAAAACAGGGGAGCACAGTAGCAGCCCCACCGGCGGGAGGACCCGATTTTCAAACATTTGGAGGACACAATTTTCGAACGTCGAAGAGTGGCAGCCCCAGGCCCCCAGTAGAAGAGTAGCAGCCCCAGTAGAAGAGTAGCAGCCCCAGTAGAAGAGTAGCAGCTCCTGAATTTACTCGTCCAGCAGAGCTGTGTCGAAGTTCCCGCCCGCTGCAGTGCCATCCCCGTATTGGGGGGCAGTTTTCAGTCTGGATACAGCAGTCTGAGAGCTGTGTGTGTCTACAGGGGCAATATGAGAGAGAGAAAGGGGCGCCTGTGACACGCCAGCTTCCAGACCTGCACCATCTTCTTCTCCCCCCCCTCCCCCTTTTTTCTTTCTCGAATTTTTGTTGTCTTTCAAACAGGCCGATGAGGCCCCTTTTGTATTTCCACGAATTAATGCGCATCCTTCGTGATCGGAGAGCCCCGTCCTTCTCAGGACCTTCGTCATTTTGGGCCGCGTTTTTTGGAATTTCATCTTTTGCAATTCGGGAAATACATGGGAAATACGCTCGCCTTAGCGAGCGCGCTGGGAATGTGGCTCGACGGTTAAGAATTTCAGAATAAGCGGGACCCGATGTGTCCTTTTTGTGCCATGTTCTCAACTTCGCCTTGGAAAACTCTGGGAATTCTGTGTGAATCCGAATAGACATAGGACTTTCTTTTTCACGCGCTCACTCTATGCGCGGATATGGTGTTTTTCAATTTTGCATTAGCTGTAACTGTTTCGGCGCCCTTTTTGCTTCCGCGACAGCGCCATGCATGTGAGATTCCCCCTCCCCGCTTCCCTCGCTACCTTCGACACCCTCTTCTTCGCGTTCGTGCTCCCTCTCTCTCTGTAACCGTTTTCCCATCTCTGCTTTGCCTCGCGCGCCTTTTCTCTTATTTGATCGTCTGAATCTTTGTTCCGTTTCACGCTATGCTTCGCGCTCTTCTTCTTCCCGCTCTAACCCTTGCGCCGGAGTACCCTGTCGATTTCCTCCTCCTTCCCTCTAGCCAAAGAGACGCGCCGTGTAAGAAGAAAATTTCTAACTTGACAATTGTAATTGGCTACAACTGGGATCCGAAGGATCGACATGGCTTTCGTCGGGCGATTATCCCCGAACCTTCCCCCACCTCTCCCTACCTCAGTCCTAACCCTTCCTAGCATCTACCTCCTTTTCCGCAACTATAAATTCCGCAAGCGCTACCGAAAATCTCCTTCAGCTTATCGGCCATCTACCGGGAAGCAGTGGCTAGGTTGTACGTCTGATGTGCGAGTCGAAAAGTCCTGGCGAGCTGACCGTAGTCTTGTCGGTTGTCACGGGCTGTGTGCTGGATCGCCGGACGGACTGTGGGATCCGGGCAAGACCATGCAGAGAATAAGTCGGAGGGGTGACGATCATTATGGTGGGAGTAGCACGTGACGACAGGGATCGTCAGTGCCTGTGTGAGGATCGTAATCGGAAGTTGATTAAATCTATGGCCCGGGGCCACAGTGGAATTTCATGGCGGATGCGCCTCTTTTTTGCTTGAAGTCTAGTCTTCGAGCGTGAGTTCGGTTCACGCGACATTTACGCTGGAATTTCTTGTGAAGGTCACCAAACTTTCTTGTGTAATTATCTTCTGCTTTTTCCCCTCCTCTGATCTACGCCTCTTCTCCCCCACACCTTCTTTTTATTACGATTCTGCTATAATGGATGGGTTATGCTGATTTCCCTCCTCTCACTTGATATGTGCATGAAGTGGATTGTGTCTGAGAACCTGTGTAAGCATGACAGGGATGCTGATTG